AGATATTTATTTTAAACAAAGTGAATAGTCTTGTTTGTGGATTTCCCAGAAAGCTACTGGGAGAGGAACAAGGCCCTTCCAAGATCATATACTTTCAGGTCTGGAGCCTGGTTCATCACTATTTTAACATAAAATATGTGTAAATGAAAGAACTATCTTTACATTTGCAATCTTCTTAGTAAACATTATTAATTGTGCTTTTAAATTCTCAGCTGTCCAATCCCATTCTGTGGAAGGTCTTCGTTTTCTTCTCATGTCTCTCTGATTTTCCTTGTCTTTTATCCCGACTCAGCAGCAAAGATAGAACCTGTGGAACTCATTCTGCAGATGAGGGAACAGCCTCAAAGATAGGAAATGATGTAGCCATAGCCTTAGGTATCCCCCTTCACACACTCCAGGGTCCCATGTAGCCGAGGCTCTTCTGGAGCTCAGTGTGCAGCTGAGGATGACTTTAACTCTTGGTTCTGCTGTCTCTACCTCTCTGGTTCTGGCGTTATAGGTACACGCCACCATGCCCAGCAAAAGGCTATTTTTTAGTGTTTTATTTAGTGTGTATGTATGAGTTTGTTTGTGTGTAGGTGCTTGTGTATCAAGATGTGCCATATGTAGAAATCAGGACAACTTGTAGGAGTCTGTTCTCTCTTTCCTTTGTGTAGATGAGTTCAAGAGATTGAATTTAGGTGATTAGAAATTTGTAGGTGGAAGTTTCTGCCCTGTACGTCGCTCCCAAGTAACTATACAGATGCTTACTATTAATTATAAGTGCTTGGCCAATAGCTCAGGCTTGTTACAAACTAACTCTTACATTTCAATTAATCTATTTTTTTTAATCTATGCTTTGGCACATGGCTTGGTACCTTTTCTCAGTATGGCATGTCCATCTTGCTTCTCTCTGCATCTGCTCTCTACTCCTCTGACTCTGCCCTTCTACCCATCATTCTCAGCTTGACTTTCCCACCTAACTTTATCCTGCTCAGCTATTGGCCAGTCAACTTCTTTATTAAACCAATTACAGTGACATATATTCACACAGTGTAAAGGAATAGTCCACATTTCCCCCTTTTTGTCTAATTAAAAGGGAAGGTTTTAACTTTAACATAGTAGGATTATATACAACAAAAACAGTTATCAAGTAAGAATTATAATTACAATATATAGTTTATTCATATTTGGAAAAATTAGAGAAAAATATTCTATTATCTATTTTATCTTTATGACTCTAAAGTTTTATACCTAATTTACCGTCTCACTGGCCCCCTACTCTTTTATTTTCACAGACAAGGTCTAATGTACCTCAGGTTGGCCTCAAACTCCCTATGTAGCAGCCAAGGCTGTCTCTGAAACAATCCTTCCCAACGCTGGGATTACAGGCATTCACCGCTACACATGGTTTCTGTGGTACTAAGGCAAGCGCTCTATCAACTGAGCTACCACCTCAGCTCCCCAGCCTTAGGTCTTAAGCAGCCTCTGGCTCCAGATCTCAGCTCTCTGAAGCCCTGCCGAGCATCTCTCTCCATTAACACAGCTTTTCAAGCCTTCCCTACCTGTGGCAATTCACAGTGGAGCAAATCCAGGAAAGGGAGGGCCAGCAGCATGACTAAGTGTTCTGTAGGGAAAGTCAGGAAGGGACAGGTGGCATGTGGGCCAGTGGGGTGTCTTTCTCAACTCCTTCCCATTTTGAAATGGGCTTCCTTCTCTCCCTGTAGATGTAACCAACCGTCTTATTAAATAAGAAACACAGAACCAATGCAAAGAAGAAAGCCAAGAGGTCAGAGCTAAGAGCTAAAACCTTACCCTTCCTCCTGTGGTGGTCCTACCTCTCTGAAAGAGAGCTACTTCCTGTGTTAAAGTTTTTATATAGAGTTTCTGCTGTGCCTTTTCATTGGTTGTAAACCCGACCACATGACCGCCTTGTCCACTGCCTGTCTGTACAGACCTCCAGGTCTTCTATGGTTGGTATTGAGATTAAAGGCGTGTGTTTCCAATGCTGGCTGTATCCCTGAACACACAGAGACTTACCTAGCTCTGCCTACCAAGTGCTGGGATTACAAGTGTATGCCACCACTGCTCTGCTTTCCTATGGCTTGCTAATAGCTCTGACCCCCGGGGCAACTTTATTTATTAACATACAAATAACATTTTAATACAAATAAAATATCACCATATTCCCTTCCTCTTCTTCTCTCCCCTCTTTCTCTTCCTTTTATTCTTCTTCCTCCCTCTCCTCCCTCTTCTCTTCTCCACCTTCTGTTCTTTGAGACAGGGTCTTTGCTTCTCCAGCTGTTCTCAAAGTCACTATGTAGCCAAAGGTGATCTTAAGCTCTTGATCCTCCTGCCTCCACCGTCAAAGGGCAGGTATTACAAGCATGTAGCCCTGTGTGCATCTGGGCATCGCCTTCCCTGCCCTGTGTGCATCTGGGTACCGCCTTCCCTTGCCTATAGCCAGCTCCTTCTGACTCTGAGGCTTTGCTGTAGCAAGGGCTTTCTTTCCTGGCTGACCTGGTGTCCTAGACAGAAGAAAAATGAAAGTGGTTTGAGGTTTTATTAACCACCGTTTCTACATTTTAATTTTTTCAGTCAGGCCAAGACTGGGGTAGTTCTGAGTCAAGGAAACTGAGAGCCAGAACCACACAGCGTGAAAGAATGAGGAAATGGCCTGGCTGTGATTTGCTGCCTTGACCAACACAGCTTCTTGGAGAACCACCAAGTACCTTATTTAGATCTGCCTGAATCTTCACGACATCCTGGGAGGTGGACTTGTAACCATCCTGACAAGAATGAAGACATCCAGAGAGATACTTGTACCCATCAGCTATCAAACTACTGGAACAAGGGGCAACAATCTTCCCAGGAGTCTCCTTCTGGTGAAGGGAAAGGCCTTGGAGCCAGGCAGAGGAGAACTTGTCTCCCCAAAAGATGTCACAAAGTTCTGAGAACTTAACTTTTAAGAGAGACTGGAGCCCAGACAATGACCTCACCTTAACCGTGACTGCTTAGCTATGCATTCATACCCCTTGCCCTCTGTTTAAACCGAAGTCTCATGTCAGGACCCTAAAGTTGGACTTGAGGAGTTCACTGGACCTCTTTGTTGCTCTTCTCAATGTGTTCATAGTGCACCAAATCTCTTTTTTCTGCTTGTCAATATTACTTTGTCTCTTTAGTTGCCTTTTTGGGGATAGATGGGCCAGCGTAGCTTGCCAGGGCTGCCAGGCCCTGGCTCTGACCATCCCATCTCTGTTACAGGATCTACTGTTTTCATATGGTGATTTGGTTGTGGAGGCTCAGATGACCGTGTCTGAGACTTTGAAAGCAAAGCAGCATCGGCTGCTCACTCGAGCATCTCCATTAGCTCAGTTACTTTTTGTTCCCCTCCCTTTGCTGGGTATTCTAAATTCTCATTCTAAATTCCTCATTTTTATTTCGATGATTAAGGTGCTAATTGTTAAGTGATCTTACTTTAGATTTACAGAACCTTGACCTTCATAGAACATCAGAATGTGTACTGCCACTCCATAGTCTTTGAGTCTGGGCATCAGATAACACAAAACATGTAAGTTGCTATGATATCTAACTTGTAGAAAGTAGTGCATTTGTTCTAGGAGGCTTGTCCATCGCCACCTCCCCCCCCACCCCCACTTATAAAAGTCCTTCGTTGGGCTGGGAAGATAGTTTTGTAGGTAGAGTGTTTACTGCACAAGTTTGAGCTTATGATTCCCAGCACCCATGTGAAGCACTAGCCTTGGTGACACATACCTGTAATCCCAGCACTGGGCAGGCAGAGAGAGGAGGATCCTGGGCTTTGCTGGCCAGATAGGCTAGCTGAATCAGTGAGCTCTTGGTTTAGTAAGCGACCCTGCTCAGAAAATAGTGATTGAGGAAGACACTTGGCATAAACATCTGCCCTCTGTGCCTACCTACCTCACATATACACAGACATACACATACATTCACACACACACACACACACACACACACACACACACACACACCACACCACAAACTTTGTGCCCCCGAGTTTCTTGAGATGGGGCTCTGAGGCAATAGGTCCTATCTCCTCAGGGTGCCAGTCTTTGAATAAAACTGATTTAGTTTTCTCTCAGTCTTCCCCCTAAGAGGAGGGCTGACATTTAGTGGCAAACAGTTGGACATGGGTTCAGTAACAACAAGTTATTGGTAGAAGGGCTGGATTTTTGCATTTCTCTGGTCTGCATTGTTAATTCTTGCCAGTTCCTGCCTCATCGACCGGAGCTAGTTTGCCCTGTTTGCCCTGTTGGCACTTAAGGCAGCACAGTCCATTGGTCATAAAATATGACTTCTTGGGGTCAGCATCATCTGGAAATGTGTTAGAAATGCACATTCTTGGTCTCATCTCATCCTAGAACTTTCTAAGAACTTCTAAGGGTTGGTACAGCTCAGGGACACAGCACACATCTAGCATGTCCAAATCCTACATCAAATCCCCCAAACAATATTTTAAAGAAAGACACTCTTGGTGGAGGTTTGGAGTATAGCGTTTGACTTCCAACACCTTAGTTTTACCTACTGTTATAGAATTTTTAAATTGTGGGGCTGGCCAAGTAATCTACAAGTCTGATTACTTAAGTTCCACCCTTGCTTGATACCTGGGTCCCCCCCCCACCCCCCCGTGGGAGGAGAGAGCCAGCTCCTGAAAGTTGTCCTCTGACCTCCACACTAAGAATAATAAATAAAATGGGACTTAAAAAAAACATGCAGACAAGTTGAGTGTGGTAATACATGCTTGTAAGCCCAGCACTGAGAAAGTTGAGGGTGAAGAATCCTGAGTTTGAGGCCAGCTTGAGCTACATAGTGAAAATTTGTCCCCAAAACAAAGAAAAATTTTAGATAGACTACCTGGAAGTAGATGAATTGGTTTCTTTCTTAGTGATCTTGGGCCAATTAGCAATTTCCTTCATACTCGGTTTTCTTCTCTGTATAAAGTAATAAAAACTTACTATCTTATAGTATACCTCGTGACAAGAATTATCAGGGATGCTAGTTTAAAAAAAATCCAGATTCCCCTGGAGCACACCACCCTCTCAATACTGGGGATAGAATCTTGGTCCTTACCAATGCTAGGCAAGTGCCCTACCAGTGAGCTATATCTCTACCCTTACAGCATAATTCCTAACCGGGCAAACGTTAGTTGGAAGTACAGAAGAACTTTTATATGCTTAATCAAAACAAAACACCCCAAAAATCCAGGGTTTCACCGTGTAATTCCAGGTGGCCTAGAACTCTCTGTCTCTGTCTGGTTAACCTCGAACTCCCAGAGATCCAGCTGTCTCTGTGTTCTCACCAGACCTGAGGCTTGTGGTCTTCGCTGGCTGACTAGGGAGCTCCTATCTCTGCCCCCAGTACTGGCAGGTCTATGTCAGCTTTTACGTGGAGGCTGGGGATTCAAGTCCCTGTGCTTACATGGCAAATGCTCTTACCCACTGAACCATCTTCCCAGCCCAGAATCTTGATTTTTTTAGTAAACTCTCCCAGCACATAATGCAGAATATGGTCATGTCAAAGGTACTTTAAAAAGTGCAAGTGACTTCCTCAATGGTTTCCTTACAAGGAAACAGGTTAAACAATAGTGGCAAAGAGGGATATTATGGGGTGCTTAAGTAGTGCCTCTGACTGTTTGCACAGCCTATTAATTCTCACAAACACTTCTGAGGGAGTTCGAAGATAGGCTTAGATGCACTTGCCTTTGGAGCCTGTCCTGGATCTTGCTCTGTAGACTAGGCTGGCCTCAAACTCACAGAGATCCACCTGCCTCTGCCTCTCAAGTGCTGGCTTTAAAGGCGTGGGCCACCACTGCCCGGCTTGCCTGGGTTTCCTATCTTACATGCAGCTTCATTGAAGCATCTGAAAAAGGTAACATGGCATTTTTTTTTCCCTCATCGTTTTGTGGCAAGGATTAAGAAGTATGCTTTTCATTTTTTAGAACTCCTGCCGCGCTGGCACTGTCAAGCTGTCACCCTTCTAAGAACGCCCTGTCAAAAGGTGGAGAAAGTTAGACTCAGTGTCTAACTCCGGAAGGACTGAACTGGCATAGAGATTCCCAAATTGTGATTCCTGCTGTCAGTAGTATCACTAGAGAACTTGCTAAAAATGCAAATTATAAAACACTCCCCACCCCATCCCAGATCTACTGGCGGTGGGGGCTCAGCAGTCTGTTTTTAAAAGCTGTTCAAGAGATTCTAAGGCACACTAGAGTTTGGTAACAGTCTTTAGAGGTTCTGGCGGGTGGGGGGTTGGGAGTGGAGAGGAGAAGTGTCAAAAAAAAAAGGAAAGAAGGAAGGAAGAAAAGAAAGACGTAAGGAAAAAAGTAAGAAAAGAAGGAAGAAAAGAAAAAAGCCTTGGCGATGTAGCGAGCAAGGCTAGGACCACTTCACCTGGAGGTGAGGAAAATGATATAGCAGGCTGGCACGCAAGGCCTGCTGGGGCCTGTAGTCCCGACTGCGCCTTAGGGGACGCGCCTGCGCACTGTGTGCGATCTCGCTCTAGTCGCTGTAGTCGGGGCTCGGGACCGGCTGCCATCTTAGTGGAGGGACTGAGGAGTCGTCGCCGCCCCGAGTCCCGGTAAACACCCGCGGGCGGACTGGGGGGCAGGTCTGTGGTTCGGAGGGAGCTTGGGTAAAAAGGGCTGGGGGATGCGAGCGGTAAGGAGTGCGGCGCGCGAGTCGGGACCCAGAGCCGAGGCTGCTCTTCCCGCAGCCGGTGTCCGTGGGGGGCGCCCGGAGCTCCGGCTGGTGGTGGCCCGAGCCGGGCGGCGGGTGGGTCAGCAGGACGAGGCGAGCTGCTAGTGCCTGGCCTGGGCTCCCCGAGCCGGTGGCCCCATCGAACCCCAAGTTGGGAGAGAGCCGAGGCGCGGCGGACGTGGGCAGGGTCCAGCCCCGCGCCCCGCTGTCGCGCCGGGGGGCTCCTCTCCCGCGGCCCGGCCTACGCGCGGGGCCCGGTGGCAGCGGCCCGCCCGCGCGACGTGGCCCTTGGAGGGGCGGCGGCCGGGCCCACCTGCCACCTGGCAAGCTCTCTCGAGACTTTTCCAAGCTCCCACTCGCGGAGGACCTTCTCCCTTGGCTGCCTCCCCTTCTAGCCTCTCACTCCCCTCCTCCCTCCATTGTCCCCACTCACGGTGGTCCCGGCCCAGGCCGGCGCCGCGGACTTTTGCAGACGTGGAGCTGTCACTCACTGCCCTTCCTTCCGAGAGCGTACTTTTCTGTAGCCAAGAAAAAAAGTAGAGGTGAGCGTATTGTTGGAAGGGTCGAAGCCGGATCAGGACGTGACTTTAAAGTAGAAGGCTCGAGTTTTGAGACATAGTTTCGGGCTGCAGCTTCAAAAGAGAAAAAAAAAAAAAAACATAATGAGGGTCAGCGCACCCGAAGTAGTCATTGGGCCTAAAGTTAGAGATGTGTCCAGGTGAACTTGCAAAAGTACCCGAAACTCACGATGCTCCAACCATTTGTTTTCTTGATTGTGTTTAGAATGCTAATCTTGCTGAATTTTCTGCTTCTCTTTAACAGCTGTAGTGAACTTGTTCTGAAGGGAGGGGCGGGGAGAAAAGAGTGAGGATTTTGTTTTTCCTTTCAAAGTTACAGAACACAACCTAGCCACCCATCATTATGCTCTTAAGTGCGTTGCCTCTCTTGCATCCGTGAGATCTTATGAAAGCAGGTAAAGGCCATGTATGTTAGTTGGCAACTGGCTTGGTTCTCATCTGAAATAAAGTTGTTTTTTGTTTTTTTGGGCGGGGGTGGGAGGGTGGGGGGAGGCAACTTTGATGAGATTCAGCCTTCTGTATCACAGGTTTACTTTAAGGCTTAATTTTCCAGGTTTTAGAAAAGATGAAATTCTCTTTTGAACAGTGATTGTACTGTGTGTATGTGAGTTCATGAATTCACACTTTAGAATAGACGTCAACAAGGATATAATATGAAACCAAAAGCAAGTATTCTAGAGTAAATAATTCTTTTAAAAATATTTAAAATAATAAATATATTCATTTAAAAAATAGCTTTACATTCATTAAGAGACAGGCTGACCCATGGTCCCAAAATTTGTCCATTAGCATAATTACAGAGCCTTTTGTTTGTTTTTGTTTTGTTTTGAGACATGATCTTGTTATATAGCTCTGGAATACACTGTGTAAACTTAGGCTGGCATCAGACTTCATCCTGTCTCCCTGTCTCTGCCTCCTGAGTTTTGGGATTACAGGTACCTGTCACCACGATGGGCTCAGGAGAAATTTTGAGATTTGTTTATTTGTGTGTTCGTGTCCTGTCATGACTTGGAGGTCAGAAGGTGTTTCCTCCTTCCACCCTATGGGTTCCGGGGATCAAACTCAGGTCAGGCTTGCATAGCAAGTGCCTTTACTCAATGAGCTCTTCTGCTGGACCAGGAGAGATTTGGGGTTTTTTTGAGACAAGGTTTCTCTTTGTAGCCATGGCTGTCCTGGAACTCATTCTGTAGCCAGGCTGGTCTTGAACTTACAGAGACTGCCTTTGCCTCATGAGTGCTGAGATTAAAGGCGCACACCACTATGGCCCAGCTCAGGAGAGATTTTTAAAAGTAGAGCATGCAGCTCAGTTGGTAGAGTGCTTGTTTACCATATACAACACCCAGAATTTAAGTCTCAGTAGCGTTGGGAGGTGAGGCCAGCCTGGACTACTTGGGACCATTTTGGAAAAAAAAGGGAGATGCTCTCAGGTTTCATTTTTGAGATTGATTTGTAGGTCAGGATTGGCTTCTACCAGTTTATTTTGAAAATATGCATCAGGTAGGTGGGATGGGCTTGGGAACTGCTAAGGCAAACAATAGTATGGCTATACCAAGAACAGCTCAAAAAGCTTTGAGATAGAAGAGGAAGTGGAAGAGACCAGTGTGGGAATTATTGAAGGAAGTGGCAAGACATGTCTATGAGGGCCAGGCTTGGTGGTGTAAGAACTCAAGGTCAGCTTGGTCAACATAGTGAGTTCCAGGCCAGCCACAGCTACATAGTGAGACCAAAGATTTGCCTCTGCATCTGAAGCTCTGTCTAAAGCATCGGTCCTCAACCTCTTTGACAAACTTCTGTCTCTAAAAATATTTGCATTATGATTCATAACAGTAGCAAATTACAGTTATGAAGTGACAATGAAATAATTTTCTGGTTGGGGATCATCACAGCATGAGGGACTGTGTTAAAGGGTTGCAGCGTCGGGAAGGGTGAGAACCGCTGCTCAGGAGGATGAGTAGGAGCGTGGCAGAGGTGAACAAGGCTGTATGTCAGTTAGGTCCAGTGTGGGAGAGAAGGAGCTCAGTGAGCAGGAAGCAGAGTGGGGAGCACTGTGGAAAGGTAAAAGGGGCCAGTTCTAGAAAACTGTAAGTTCAATGCTAATAGTTTTGAGTTTTATGTTAGAGAAAAAGGTTTTTGGGAAAGGAAGTGATGTAAGTTGGTGTTTGTTTGAAGAAGATGGCTGTGGTGATAAAAGGGAAAGGGGGAAAGTGACAGTTGCAGAAGTCCCCCTTGTAAGTGATGGAGGCTGCTGGCCTTGGCGGTGGGACTGACCTAGGGGTTGGATGGCTCATTTTGCTAATACCATGTAATAGTATGCAATACTTTCAAAAATGCCGTGTTTTTTGATAGGATTGTTTTAGGGCTGGTCTGGGTAAAGGGTTCCTTTTCTCTTAGAATATGGTCATTAGCATCTTTGAGTAATTAGAGGCCCATCAGATGCACTTGGAAGAGAGCTTGAGTTCTGAACTATGTAACTATCAGTACATCGATCCATGTTTGCTTAATGTGTTTTCCTTCTAGTCACAGAAACGGGTACTTGAGCTTCACAGTTGGAAGAGATTGTCTGCTTTATAATGGCAAATGTGTTGTAGGTTGTAGGCCAACAGGGCTTGGAAATAGCTTCTGGAAGTACTTACTGTTCGGGAGGATCCAGGCCAGTCTATG